CCTACTTTCTCTGTTTTTTTTTATAATAAATTTTTACCATACACTTTATACTATTATTCAGTAGGGAATGTTCAATTATATGGTGTCCCAAACTGAAAATATGGGGGTGAGGCATTGCTTTAAAAATTTTCTGTGAGGTGAAGACTAGGACAGTGAAGATCTTATGTTTAGGGGGAGGTGTGATGGAATATTTTCTAAAGAATTCAAAGCATAGAAATTTTGAACTAAAGAAGTATGGGGGTTTCAGAGGTATAATTAAAAGTAAGAAAGGGGTTTATTGAGGTGGATTGAGCAAATTAAAAAAGGTGGGAGTAAAAAAGGATACCCCAAAGGTGTACAAGTGGGGTGGGAAGGAATTTTTTCCCCAAAGGGAGCTCCAGTTTGTGGAGTGTTTTAAATTGGGGGAACTGGAAACAGGTAGGATTTAGATGACATACACTATGAAATTTTTTTTTATTTTTATTTTCTTTTTCGTACATTAGCTCGCCTAAAAATTACTTTTAAAACTCACTTCCCCCATCGTTTTACCTTTTAAAGACTGACTTTAAATTTTTTGCTTTTCTGTCTCCTTTCTGCCTTTCCCGTATTTACATATTTTATTTTTTATAAATTGGGACATTCAGCATTCTAAAATCAGAAACAGCAGCTGGGATTGTGAAGAAGGCAGGTTTTCAAGTCTTCAAGCCAACTTATTATTTTTTATTATCACACCGGCCGATTCCCACCAAGGCAGGGTGGCCCGAAAAAGAAAAACTTTCACCATCATTCACTCCATCACTGTCTTGCCAGAAGGGTGCTTTACACTACAGTTTTTAAACTGCAACATTAACACCCCTCCTTCAGAGTGCAGGCACTGTACTTCCCATCTCCAGAACTCAAGTCCGGCCTGCCGGTTTCCCTGAATCCCTTCATAAATGTTACTTTGCTCACACTCCAACAGCACGTCAAGTATTAAAAACCATTTGTCTCCATTCACTCCTATCAAACACGCTCACGCATGCCTGCTGGAAGTCCAAGCCCCTCGCACACAAAACCTCCTTTACCCCCTCCCTCCAACCCTTCCTAGGCCGACCCCTACCCCGCCTTCCTTCCACTACAGACTGATACACTCTTGAAGTCATTCTGTTTCGCTCCATTCTCTCTACATGTCCGAACCACCTCAACAACCCTTCCTCAGCCCTCTGGACAACAGTTTTGGTAATCCCGCACCTCTCCTAACTTCCAAACTACGAATTCTCTGCATTATATTCACACCACACATTGCCCTCAGACATGACATCTCCACTGCCTCCAGCCTTCTCCTCGCTGCAACATTCATCACCCACGCTTCACACCCATATAAGAGCGTTGGTAAACTATACTCTCATACATTCCCCTCTTTGCCTCCAAGGACAAAGTTCTTTGTCTCCACAGACTCCTAAGTGCACCACTCACTCTTTTTCCCTCACCCAATTCTATGATTCACCTCATCTTTCATAGCCCCATCCGCTGACACGTCCACTCCCAAATATCTGAATACTTCACCTCCTCCATACTCTCTCCCTCCAATCTGATATTCAATCTTTCATCACCTAATCTTTTTGTTATCCTCATAACCTTACTCTTTCCTGTATTCACCTTTAATTTTCTTCTTTTGCACACCCTACCAAATTCATCCACCAATTTTCTGCAACTTCTCTTCAGAATCTCCCAAGAGCACAGTGTCATCAGCAAAGAGCAGCTGTGACAACTCCCACTTTGTGGTGATTCTTTATCTTTTAACTCCACGCCCCTTGCCAAACCCTCGCATTTACTTCTCTTACAACCCCATCTATAAATATATTAAACAACCACGGTGACATCACACATCCTTGTCTAAGGCCTACTTTTACTGGGAAAAAATTTCCCTCTTTCCTACATACTCTAACTTGAGCCTCACTATCCTCGTAAAAACTCTTCACTGCTTTCAGTAACCTACCTCCTACACCATACACTTGCAACATCTGCCACATTGCCTCCCCCTATCCACCCTGTCATACGCCTTTTCCAAATCCATAAATGCCACAAAGACCTCTTTAGCCTTATCTAAATACTGTTCACTTATATGTTTCACTGTAAACACCTGGTCCACACACCCCCTACCTTTCCTAAAGCCTCCTTGTTCATCTGCTATCCTATTCTCCGTCTTACTCTTAATTCTTTCAATTATAACTCTACCATACACCTTTACCAGGTACACTTAACAGACTTATCCCCCTATAATTTTTGCACTCTCTTTTATCCCTTTGCCTTATACAAAGGAACTATGCATGCTCTCTGCCAATCCCTAGGTACCTTACCCTCTTCCATACATTTATTAAATAATTGCACCAACCACTCCAAAACTATATCCCCACCTGCTTTTAACATTTCTATCTTTATCCCATCAATCCCGGCTGCCTTACCCCCTTTCATTTTACCTACTGCCTCACGAACTTCCCCCACACTCACAACTGGCTCTTCCTCACTCTCTACAAGATGTTATTCCTCCTTGCCCTATACACGAAATCACAGCTTCCCTATCTTCATCAACATTTAACAATTCCTCAAAATATTCCTTCCATCTTCCCAATACCTCTAACTCTCCATTTAATAACTCTCCTCTCCTATTTTTAACTGACAAATCAATTTGTTCTCTAGGCTTTCTTAACTTGTTAATCTCACTCCAAAACTTTTTCTTATTTTCAACAAAATTTGTTGATAACATCTCACCCACTCTCTCATTTGCTCTCTTTTTACATTGCTTCACCACTCTCTTAACCTCTCTCTTTTTCTCCATATACTCTTCCCCCTCATTAAATGCTGACAGAGGATTGAGCCTTCATTAGTTCTTGTGTTTTATAACCTACATGTGTTTAGCTCTTCATGAAATGCAATGCAATACTATTTGTACTTTCTCAAGTTTCACTTTGGGTTTTACAGACAAGAATTTCAGATGTGTAGATCAAGTGTTTACATTGAAGCATATATGTGAACAGTATTTAGATAAAGGTAGGGAAGTTTTCATTGCATTTATGGATTTAGAAAAGGCATATGATAGGGTTGATAGGGAGAGAGGGAGATTACTTTCCCCCTAGATTAGGTCTTAGACAGGGAGTGTAAGTCACCCTGGTTGTTTTTTTAAATTTTATGTGGGGTGTAAAACAATAAATGCAGGGTGTTGGGGGGGGGATGGGATTTAACTAGGGGGAAACAAATACAAAAGGGGTTGAAAACAGTTACTTTTTGTGTTTTTATACTGTGCTTTTTGGGAGATTCAAAGAAAAGTTCAAGGTTGTTGTGAGAGTGTGAAAAAGGAGAAAGTTGAAAGGAACATAGATAAGGTAAAAATGATGAGGGGGCAAACAATTTAGAGATTTAGAAACGAAAAAATTTTTTCATATTTGGGGGGAAGGGGGTATAGAAGAAGTGAATGTTTTCGATAGTTTGGGAGTTGACGTCAGTGGAAGGTTTATGAAGGTGAGGTTAACTATGAACTGATGAAGGAGAAAAAAGGGATGGTCGTGAGGTATCTGTGGAGAAAAAAAAATTTTCCATGGGGGGAAAAAAAGGGGAAAGAATGGTACCAACATTATATGGGGGTGAAACATGGGGTTTGGGAATGCTGCAGCAGGGGGGGCGGCGAAGGCATTAGATGTCCTGTTAAGGGGCAATGTGGGGTGTAAATATTATGCCGAAAATTGTATTGGAAGTAGGGGGTGTGGATTTCAAAAGTATTAGTCAGAGGAGAAAAGGGGTTGTTGAAAAGTTTTTTGGGATTTTGAAGGTGGGGCAAAGTGAATGACTGGAAAATGTATAAATCTGTAGGGGATGGAAGGCAGGGTAGGGGTTGTACTTGAAAAAGTTGGAGGGAGGTGGTAAAGGTTTTGTGGGCAAGGGACTTGGACTTCAGCAAGCACGCATGAGCATGTTAGATAGGAGCAAATGAAGACGAATGGTTTTTGGGACCTGATGTGCTGTTGGAGTGTGAGCAGGGTAATATTTTGTGAAGGGATTCAGGGAAACTGGTTAGCCAGACTTGAGTCCTAGAATTGGGAAATACAGTGCCTGGACTTTAAAGGAGGGGTTTGGGATGTTGTCAGTTTGGAGGGACATCTAAGCTATCGTATCTGAGTTCCTCTGCAAAGACAGTGATTATGTATGAGTGATGGGGAAAATGTTGAATGATGATGAAAGTTTTTTCTTTCTTTTTGGGTCACCCTGCCTTTGTGGGAAACGGCCGCCTTGTTAAAAAAAAAAAAAAAAAATCCAGGTACGTGTTGGATACTCTAAACTGGGTCGTATCTAATTTGTGTGTATACCTGTGCATATTTGTATGTAAAGAATAATGTGATTATTTAATGTAGCATTATAGAAATTGAAAGAACTGTATTTTAAAATTTTATTACAAACTTTTATGAAAATCTTTAAACTTTTTCTGTCATATTACTTATTCACTTTCATATGAGGCAAAGAGCTACTGTTCTTTTTCATCATTTACTCATAGCATTATCAATCTTAAGTTAAGGAATTTCCAGTATTTACTCATTTTCTTCAGTCCTGTGTGTGGTATTATGATGGTTTATATGATTTTTTTAAAGTTAGGCTAAAAATTATAGCCACAAGATTTTAAAGGATACAAATAGCAAATCATTTCTTATTAGCAACTTAGGCAGTGGGTGTAAGAGTTTTACTCAGTGTTCCTTTGAATATGCAACAATATTTGAATGTCAGCATCACCTCATGGTAGATTCATTAACTTTTTAATTGTCAAAATTTATTCTGAACAAGTTTAAATACTATAATACTGTAAAATACTTTACAACTATGTTATGAAGGTTATTTTTATATAGAATTTTCTAGGTAATTTGAATTATTTTTATGACATAGTGATTTAGCTTTGCCTTTTGAAATTGTATATTAACAGTAAGTAAAATGCATAAAGGTAATATCTTTTGAGCTGCAATAAAACTTATATTGCTGTCTTTTTTTTTTTTTTTCAGAGAGTCAACCAGATCATCTTATCGACCATTTGTTGTACAGAAATCTGCTACTTTGCCTCCCAACTCCAACTTAAGTAGAAAATAGAGCAGTCTTAAGGCTAATACCTCATTTCTCACCTTGAGGAGTTTTTGGTGGCTCTGTGGGATTGCTTTAATATAAATCAAAAACTTTTATTTTCTGGTACTGTTTAGACCAATGGAAATTTGAATCCCTCCACAATCTAGAAATAACAATTGTATGAACAAATAATTAAAAATATTTGTGGGGTCATTGTAAAATCCCTAACCTGAATATAAATGATGTGCAAAGTAAT